TTTTTGGATATCTTCTTTAGCTTCCGACTAATTGACTAAAATTTTTCGGTTATTTGGTACAAATTGCGTTAGTATTGCTGTCGTACTAAACTAATCAAGATCTTTCAAATAGAGTTATCTGTTCTTCTTTAGTTTCCGACATATTCAGCTTTATCATGAGTGTCACCGACATTAAGCTCAGCCGAGCAGTAAAGGTTTTATGTTCTTTAAATTCATATGTATTTGCTTATTTCTGTTCGATTCATTTATGTACTTAGCGTTTACATAGACATGAACGTATCCTTACCTACATATGTGCTTAGGTACATATGTGTACTATATATCTAAAATGTTTATGTACGTACATGTCTAGCGGTAAAATCACGCCATACGTATACAGTATAAATAGAAGAACAACTTTGTAAGCAGCTAAGTTTTTAAGAGGAACGAATAAAGAAAAAGTTTAAAAGCGTCCGCTAATAGAAATTCGCATATTCAATTTTTATTTCCTCGAGAACTGTCGCTAAAGTTTCGCAACAATTCTTTTAAACTTTTTAAATCGTTATTGGAGTTAAAATTCGGGTAAATAACATTTGAACGCAGGCGAGCGGCAACATGGAGCAAAATTGCCATAAATGTGATGAAGCGGATAGCGAGCGAATGGTACAATGTGATTCTTGTAACTCCTGGTACCACTTCGACTGCGTTGGAGTCGACAGCAATGTGGCTGATGTTAGTTGGAACTGCGAAATATGCCGTCGCGATACATCAGCCGCAGCCGCTAAACCGACAGCTTCATCGTCGCCAAATACTTATAAACGTACGGAGCGCACGCAATTTACTTCAAGATGTCCGTCAGCTATAAAAGCGCCCACCTTGGATTCACAGGCCAGGGCGTCAATGCTGACCACGACGGTCACCACAGTGATTCCAACACCTCTCGCTCAAAGTTCTGCAATACCTGTAACCACGAGTTTTACCACATCGCAACAATTCCGTTCTGCAACACCTGTAACCACATCGCAGCATTTCCTTTCGCAAAATCCTTTAAGCACTTTAACATTGACACCATCTTGTTCTGAGTTTACGGGATCAGCTCCCAACACAACCTCGCAGGGACCCCTTACGCTAACAACGGCAACACAAGCTACGGGTATTGGGTGTCCCGAGACGATTGCGCCAGCGATTACATCGCATTTTTTAGAGCCTGGCAACGCAGCTCGCTCATCAACTTATATTCCGTATATCAACACGAATTCGCGACAACCAATGGGTGTATCTTACGCCAACGTTGACAAGTCCGAGATGCATCGGAATCTACAATTGGAACGACTAAAAGAGGAGATGGAGATCCAACAACAATATCTGGAAAACAAATACAAGATATTATCACAGTATAATGAACTCCCACCGATTACTCCTCCACCATTTTTGCAGAATGCAGGACCTTCACAATCACAACTGATCGCGAGGCAAGCGATTCCGAAGCAGCTTCCGGTTTTTAGTGGGGACCCTGAAGAATGGCCACTGTTTATAAGCAACTTCGAAAATAGTACAGCGGTGGCCGGGTATACCGACGCAGAAAACCTTATACGGCTTCAAGCAAGTCTCAAAGGTAAAGCTCGGGACATGGTAAAGAGCAAACTCTTTTTGCCATCGATGGTCTCTGAGATTATTCATACTCTGAGAATGTGTTTTGGTAGGCCAGAGTACATACTCGAGCGTGTGGTGAATCGAGCTCGCGCAATGCCTCCTCTGAAAGATAAGTTAGAGGGTCTTGTTGATTTCGCGCTTTGTGTGAGGAGTATTTGTAATACTATGGAAGGGTGCCGAATGAACACGCACCTTCATAATCCATTGCTGGTGCAAGAATTGGTTAATAAACTGCCGAACAATCACAAATTGAGCTGGGCTCTGCATCCGAAAGACGAGGCAATTCCAGTGGTAAGACAATTCAGCGACTGGATATTCTGTCTGGCCGAAGCAGCTAGCACCGTTGTAAACCTAGCGCCAAGTAAAAGTAATGCTTCAGTGAACACCCACACTGTCGAAGGCAGTGCAGAACGTTTGCACGCAAAGGCACACACCCCAACTAGTAAGCTATGCTGCATATGCAATGATCAGGATCATAAGGTGTCGCAATGTGAGGTTTTTAAAAAAATGTCCCTACCACGCAGATGGGATGCGGTGAAAGCCAAAAATCTCTGCCGTCAATGCCTTAGCCCGCATAGACGCAAATGCTTCGTAAGCAAAGTGTGTGGAATAGAGGGTTGTGTAATAAAACACCACCCTCTACTACACAAATTCGTCGAGTCTACAGTCGAGCAAGTAAATACTCACAACAGCGGTTACGAGGAATCGCGCCCACTTTTTAGAATAGTCCCTATTCGTCTGTATTCGAAAAATAAGGTAATGGATATCTACGCATTTTTAGATGAAGGTTCGTCTGTGACCCTTATAGAAAAGAATATCTTTGATCAGCTCGGTATAAAAGGTGAACACGGACCTCTGTGCTTGCGGTGGACGGGAAACACCACTCGCGTCGAAGAAAATTCTGAACGGGCGTCTATAGAGATTTCCAGCATGACTAGTAATCAAAAGTACACGCTCAAGAACGCTCGCACTGTTCATAACCTTGATCTTCCAGTACAGTCGATTGACATAGCCGACATGCAGACGAAATACCCGCACCTAAATGGACTACCCATTAAGTCATATGACAACATAAAACCGTCACTACTTATTGGTGCCGATAATTGGAAGTTGGCGATCCCCCTTAAAGTGAAGGAGGGTGCTTGGTCCGAGCCTATAGCTTCTAAAACTCGTTTGGGGTGGACATTACAGGGGTGTGAGAGCAGCCGAAAGGAAAACTTCCGTCTCAACGTACACACGTGTGAGTGTCAACTAAAATACGATCACTTGCATGAAATGGTGAAAGATTTCTTCGTACTAGAAGCTCCGAAAGCAACGGAGATTCTCTCAGAGGACGACGCCAAAGCTGTAGACATCATGACCAACACATGCCAGCAATCAAACGGCCGCTACGAGGTCGGGCTTTTGTGGCGTAATCCAAACGAACCTCTACCCAGTAGCTATTCCAACGCTGTCCGCCGTATGAAGTGTCTAGAGAAGAAATTTGCTAAAGATCCTGGTCTGCGATCCACCATGCAGCAACAGATAAACAATCTGCTTGACAAAGGTTATGCTCAAAAGCTCTCTTTAGCAGACATTGCAGTGCCTAGGGACAAGGTTTGGTACTTGCCAATATTCGTCGTGAACAACCCTAATAAACCAGGGAAAATTCGTATGGTTTGGGATGCCGCTGCGAAAGCCAATGGAGTGTCGTTGAACAATTTTCTTTTAAGTGGTCCCGACCTGCTGAATCCACTCGTAGACATTTTGCTGGCGTTTAGGGTCGGCAGAGTCGCTATTTGCGGCGACATTGCGGAAATGTTTCACCGCATAAACATCCGTGAAACAGATATGCACGCTCAACGATTCTTGTGGTATGATGAGAATGATCGCTCACAACAACCAAGCGTCTACGTTATGCGAGCGCTGACGTTCGGTCTCAACTGTGCCCCCTGTATAGCCCATTTCATACGTGACAAAAACGCAGACAATTATAAACATGACTTTCCACGAGCCGCGGAAGCCATAAAGAGAAATCATTACGTTGACGATTTCATTGACAGCGAAGATGACGAGCACTCCGCGCTAGAATTGGCAAAGCAAGTCAAGGAAATACATCGTGCGGGTGGATTTAACATTCGAGGCTGGTCTTCGAATTCGAAATCCGTGCTAGACGAGCTGACGGATGACCCTTCCCCTGTACATAACGTCAAAGAGTGGGCTTCTACTACAAAGATACTGGGTATGTTTTGGGATCCAGCTAGTGACAATTTTAAGTATATTTGCAGGTTTACGAGACTTCGCCGTGACGTCATAAACGAAACCTTGGCACCGACTAAAAGAGAGGTCCTTCAGGTGCTTATGTCGATCTTCGATCCACTGGGGTTTGTTGGTTGTTACACCATAGGCTTGAAAGTTCTCCTTCAAGATGTGTGGCGGGCAGGTATTTCTTGGGATGATACATTATGCGACAAACTCTACGAAAAGTGGTGTCACTGGAAGAATATGGTGAAGCTGATAACTGCAGTAGAAATACCACGTTGTTACTCGTTGTTCCTGAAAGAAGCCGAAGAAGTTGAACTCCATACGTTCGTAGACGCCGGAGAAAATGCATACGCGGCTGTTTGTTATCTGCGAACAAAAAGAGGCGAGTTTGTCTCAACTACCCTGGTTGCAGCCAAATCAAAAGTCGCGCCGCTCAAACCATTGTCAATTCCGAGGCTGGAATTACAAGCCGCAGTGGTTGGCATACGATTGGCCTCTACGGTGGCTAATGTAAAACGAATAGGTATTACGTCAATGTATTGGTGGACGGATTCAAAGACGGTCTTGCGGTGGATTCGGATGGATCCAAGAAACTTCCATCAATACGTAATGTATCGAGTAGGTGAGATACTCGAGGCATCGAATGTAAATCAATGGAAGTGGGTACCTACGAAACTAAATCCTGCCGATTTAGCGACGAAAATGTCGAGCTGTGCGAACTATAAGCAGTGGTTTACAGGACCAGAGTTTTTGGCGCTAGATCGGAAGTCCTGGCCGCATTGTACCGAGATCAATCCTAATGTTGAAGACTCAAAAGAGCTCAGACACTACGTTTTACACACCGAAAGAGTACCAATGCGAAATGTAGCGCTAAACGTTGAGTACTTTTCTAGTTGGAGCCGTTTATACAGGGCAGTTGCGACCTTCATACTCTACGTCAATACCTTACGCGCAAGAATCTCAGCAAGCATACCCGACCGTACGATTCGCTTCGAAATTGTTCAGCAAGCTCAACAATTCCTCATCAAGTACGCTCAAACGGCTTTTAGTGAGGAGATAACCCTTCTTCAACAAGGGAAGACTATAAAAAAATCGAGCAAATTATTTTCGTTCGACATCTACCTAGACGTAAAAGGCATAATAAGAAGCAGAAGTCGCGCTGAACACCTAAATAATCGCGAGGATGCCATAGTTATGCCTACTTCTCACCATGTGACGTTCCTCATTGTACGTTCGGCTCATGAACAGTTTCACCACCAAATGCACGAATCAGTTGTCAACCATATACGTGGACAATATCTCATACCTCGCCTGAGGGCTCTTTACAAGAAAGTTCGTCAACAATGTCAGCGATGCAAAAATAATAGCAGTATGCCGCAAATTCCACAAATGGCCGCTTTACCGGCTGCAAGACTTGCCGCCTTCGAGAGGCCATTCACAAACGTTGGCATTGACTATTTCGGACCGCTGTCGGTTGTGGTAGGAAGAAGACGCGAAAAGAGATGGGGAGTCATCTTCACGTGTTTGACTCTTCGTGCAATACACATTGAAGTAGCATACAGTTTGGATACAAGCTCATGTATCATAGCGATACGAAACTTCATCTCCCGACGGGGCTATCCTAGAGAGATATTCTCCGACAACGGCACAAATTTTAGGGCGGCAGAGAAGATTATTTGCGAAAAAGTTAAACAAATCGATTTCCAGCATCTCACTTCGTCCTTTGATCAGATAAAGTGGAGATTCAACCCTCCCAGCGCACCACATATGGGGGGAGTTTGGGAGAGACTAGTAAGATCAGTAAAAAATGTACTTTATCAAATTATTCCGTCTTCTAGTTTCAATGATGAAAGTCTTCGGAATGCGCTATGTGAAGTGGAGTTTGTCGTAAACGCTAGGCCGCTTACGTTTGTTTCGCTGGAAGGAGAGGACGACGAAGCGCTCACCCCAAACCATCTGTTGATTGGATCATCAAGTGGATACAAACCTATTTGCAACGAAGATACCAGCTTGCGTGAACGTTGGCGCCAAACTCAGAAATTTGCAGACCAATTTTGGCAAAGGTGGATAAAGGAATATGTTCCAATCATTTCCCGACGCAGCAAATGGTTCGAAAAACGACCTCCGGTACGAATAGACGACATAGTGGTAATTGTGGATCAGAACCTTCCCAGGAACTGTTGGCCAAAAGGCAGAATTGTCGACGTTGTAAGAGCTAAAGATGGTCAAATTCGAAGCGCAACTGTCAAAACTACATCCGGTATACTACATCGACCTGTGGCAAAAATAGCAGTCCTAGATGTCGGTGCTATACGGAGTAAACAGACGGAGTCGAGCTTGTTTACGGGCGAGGGGATGTCACCGACATTAAGCTCAGCCGAGCAGTAAAGGTTTTATGTTCTT